ACATGCACAATGAACCACACCGTCCTTTTGCAGGCGCTGGTAGCAGTGTCAGAGGAGTGTGTGGAGGACTCATAGGTCTAGCAGGAAGAGGATATCATTCTGAGCCTGGCAGTGCAGGCCACAGATGATGACTGCTGGGTGCTGGACACCGTTCTGGCTTTGGCAGTTGTCTTCATGTTACCTGCTGCCCAGCCCCTGACCCTAGCCCCACCTGTCCCCTGGCAGCTGCCTTCCACCTAGTAGTAGGTCCCCACCTAGGCCTGGGAGGAGGTCCTGTGGTGCCAGCAGCCACCAGAAGCCCCTGGTCTGGCCTCTGCCCTAGGTCCAACACCATCCAGCCTCCCTGCCTGGGCTCAGGCCTGTTGCTTGCCCCAGCTCCACATGGGTGCAGAGCTCAAGCTACCTGCAGTGGGACCAGGATCACATACCAGCCCTGCTGGGCCTGGACAGTGACTGGCAGAGGGGGCAGCAGTGCAGGGGGTCTAGAGTAGGGAGTGTTGGAGGAGGTGGTCAGCCAGCACCTCCCACACACAGTGCCCTAGCAACAGGGCTGGCCCCGCTGTCAGGTGTGTGGCTTTCCTGGTGCTTGAGCACGGAGGGGCGGGGTCCACCACTGCCACTGCCACCACAGGTGGTGCTCCTGCTTCCAGGCATCCTTTGCCCACTGTACCTCTTCCACTCACGCCTCACAGAAAAGCTTTACTGGGACTCATAGATGTTATCCAGCACATTGGCTGCAGCGATGACCCAAGGAAGATTTCCTCGGTGAGCTCGAGGCAGATGGTGAGGGTGTACCAGTGGCCCTTGAGGTGGCCTCCATAAGAGTGTGGGACCAGCCCAGACAGTGGTTAAAGTAGGCCTGGTGGGGCTCCAGGCGGCCGGTATAGGACCACATCAACTAAGGCAGGAGTGGGTAGGTGGGGTCCCAGATGAGGAGGGGTGGGACCACAATGGTGCTCAGCTGCTGGTCCAGCACTCCTGGCATGAAGCGTCTACCCTCCACCAGTCCCAGCAGACTGGAGTTGTGAAACATGTGGGCATCATGGGTGCTGCCTGCCCAGATGACACTCACATGCATGAATGTGCCACAATGGTCCACGTTGGCCTGCAGGACCATGGAGTGGAATCCTCTGTGGCTGTAGTAGGGCCAGTCTCCATGAGATGGGCACATAATGGGGATGTTGGAGGTATCCGAGGGCATGGAACCCCATCACCACCACCACCAGAAGATCATGCATGTGGATCACAGTGGGCCCTAGCTCATCCTGGAGGGTGCCACACACCTCCAAGGCGGTCTCCCCAGCAGTGGCCTTGTCCATGCTAAATCTATGTAAGCTGTACCAGAGGCTGGCTGGTGTGGTCAGCTGCATCAGGGTGAGGGCCAGCCAGGTGTCTGCAGGAAGGGCTGGCCATATGCTAGTGTCCTGGCTGGCCATATGCTAGTGTCCTGCTGTCCAGTTTGGGCCAGAGCTGCTGTAAGAGATCCCAGAAGATGGCATGGGTCAGCCAGAAAGCGTCCAGCCACTGCTCATTGTCCTAGGTGTGCTGGATGACATGCAGCCATCAGTCCTGGCTGACACAGTGAGCCCAGAGGTGGCAGGGCTGGAGGCCCAGGAGGGTGACAGCAGACCCCAGGATGGCATCCTGGAGCCCCTTGTTGGTGTCCCTGTTGGCTGCAGCTGCACAGGAATAGCCCTTGGACAGCATACTGCAGGGAGGCAGTCGTTGTGCATGGGGAAGCCAGGTGGGGCAAGACAACCATGGGTCAAGCAGCAGTCAGCACTGCAGGCCAGCAGGGCTAGTGCCGTGGCCAGCAGGAGCACAGGGTGCTGTTCATTGCTGCCAGGGGCAGGGGCTGGAGCAGCCATAGCACAGGGAGTCAGAGTGGCCAAGGAGAGAGCTGCCACATGCTGCCCCTGTGTTAAGCACACTGCTCCTGGGCAAGGAAGGAACCGGCCAGAGGGCAGCATGCAGGGCTGGCTTTTAAAGAGGACTGCTAGGTGCTGGCAGCTGCAGCCAGAGCCTGGAGCTCCCCTTGGTGGTGGCAAGGATCCATTCTAGAGCTGCAGGAAACTTGGTGCAAAGAGCAGCAAATCTGGTCCCTAATCTCTGCATGTGTAGATGTCTACCCGAAAGTGCTTACTCTGGAGTAGTTTACACCAAAGTAAACTTAGAGTAATTCAAATGCATGTGTAGATGCACCCACATATTATCAGATAAAACTGAAAGGAAAGGGGAACCCATCTACTGCTGCCATTGTCCCCAACTGACCTACAGAGGAGGGGTCCCAGAACTATTCCTGCTCTGCTCAGGCCAGGGGCTGTAAGGAGCAGCTTTGCAGGGCACTGGGTTTGCCGGTGGTTGCAGCAGGTAAATCCCTGCTCCCTTTCCCTCCACCACAATTCCCTATTTCAGTGGCTGTTGCTGCAGGAAGAGGCTACACAGGGAGCTGTGCTTGTATGGTTCTCCTTCCAGCACCTGACCCTGAGCAGTGGGTGACATCTGAGATGACTAGGCAAAGAGCAGGAGTGCCTGGAATGGAGGACCCACTTGCTGTTACTGTCCCCAGCTAAGCCCATGCAGCTACTCCCAGAAGCCTCCAGGTGAAGCAGAGTAGGAGCAGCCCTGGGACTTCCCTTGCCCCTGGGTCAGCCAGGGAAAGTGGCAGCAGCAGGCAGGCCTTCTCTTCTTATGCCTAGAGGCAACCCATTGGCAACCCCTGCTGGAGATGGGGAAGGGGGAATTGGAGGATAGTGGGTGCCTGTGGTGGGTGAGAGGGGGTGTCAAGAGCTAGGGGAAGGGCACAAGGGAATCATACCAGCTTGGGGACTCAAAAAAGTCCTTCACAGCTGCTGCCACAGTGCAACACTGCAGGGGGGAGGAGTGGACTGAAATCATTCTTAAAGTGTTGGTGGCATCTCCCTTTTTACACACCCTTTTTACATTTGTAGATCTGCCCATGAGAGCAGTTATAAAATCCTTAGCCTTTGAAAAAAGCTTTCAGGCCTGGTGGGATTGCATGGTGTAAATAAATCACTACAAATGCAGTTCTTTCTATTGCTAAAGCATTTACTTGTTTGAAAGTGCTCAATCTCACCTTTAGTGAACAATATTGCCCTATGTCTCAAAGAGAAGAAACCACTAGAATATGGGAGGGAATTATGTCATATGATCATCTTACTTTTCTACAGTATTGTGATAGCTCCATGCCAAACTTCAAAGTGGTTGAAACTCAAGCAAACTTATTTATAACCTCCCACCCACACATCCACCAGATCTAGAGACAACTCCAGATCTTTTAGTTCATTGCCTAGAATTTTACCTACAAGTATCACTGCTGGAGCAACACAAAGAATTATGTTCACACCTAATTATACCCTATAAAAGCTATTGCCAAAAACACCAATGTAAATGCAAACCTCACTTCTGTAACTGGCTGGCATAGACCATTATAACCCAAAAGAAATGACTTCACTAGCTCAGCTAATTTTACTGACTATGATGCACTACATACTCCTTTCTACAATATGTCTAAAGAGAAAACTCTCCTCTTTAAATATACAAGACTGATGTTGACAGATCCAGATTCCTTTTCCAAATGTGTAATGCTATTAACATAACCTTTGGACACGCAGTGAAAATAAGCAAATGCCTGGCAAAGGGAAACTAGTAAATGGCAAGTTCGTGATTCATATTATATTGCAATTAGGCTTCAGAGTTAATCAAAAGGCAATTTCTTGAATGATCTGAGAGCTTCATTAATATATCCCTTTTTATACACCTAGTTATCTATTATTTTCATTTGGGAAAAAAGTTACTCTTACAGCTCATCTTAAACATACAATATTGCTGTGGTTTTCTACTGATATGCTATTAAGTGTTTCACTGTACTGATACATCTTAACTCCTATTATTTACCCTGTAGATAGATATGCTCCAGAGATGATGGATATGATATATATATATATAATTGTTTTTTATTTAAAATTATATCCTAAACTTAAAGTTAGTTATATCCTAAAAATTACAGCTCTGTCATCATTTTAAACCATTATTCTAATATGGTGATAAGTCATTAATAAAAAAATCTTAGTTTTAATAATTTTGTTTACTTTGTATATTGCTCTAAAGTCAGTATAGTTTGTCGATAGGTTGTTTCTCATGAATAGCTAGTGAATTACTTCTGTTTGATCAGGAAGAAAAGAATAACCTTTCCTAAACTATAAAACTGATTGTGAAAGCAAAACAAAAATGTTGACAGAAGCCTCAGAACAAAATGTAGCACCTAAATCTAACTTTACTTTTTAAAAAAATATACTGAAAAGCTTTCAGACCAATAGTCTACTTTTCAGTTTCTAAAGTGCTTCAGCATTGTGATCAAGTGAATTACATGTGCGAGAGAGATCTGTGACACATACATTGTGGTTAACAACAGCAACAACAACCACAACAACAACAAAATCAAAAAACAAAACAGTCACAGGCACTGTCACTGTCACTACAGAACAGGTCTCACCTTACCATCAATTGCTTGGGGAACAGCCATTTAGGTCAGTGGGAGTTTTGCACCGAAATTGATGGCAAGATTTTGCAACAACTTACGTCAATACTATTGACATGTTATTTTAATTATTTTACTATTCCTCAAAAGAGAATACCTCTTCCCACAGTGTGTAATAGCTGCATTTCAAGATGCATTTTCTACCATTAGCATGGTTCTGCTGACTTTAAATTCTAATCACATGGCCACCTTTTTACCACTTACAAGCTGCCAGTATCTGTTTCAACTAAAGTGACAGAGTTTTGGGAAATGAATGAAAACTCTGAGCCAAAATAAGCTGAAGAATTATAGGATGGAACTAGTAAACAAATAGCTCTAATTTTATAGTTTTATACATATTTCATATGTCTATGAACTAACAGGCTTTTACTCTAAAGAAAAGGAGAGTTAGAGTAACATAGCAGTCAATGGTATAATAACGTAAAGACCTTGGTCTTACCCTTTGTTTTCAAGTCGCTTAATACCTTTGAGTCGATGTGGTGTATGTCGCTCATTAATTTTATCTCAATATTTCGAGATGCCAATTCTAGCAATTTTTCAAAAAGCCGCTGACCCTGGGAAGAACATTAAAGAAGAGCAAGGTTCATAAGAAACAGAACTACTCAAATTACATAGCAGAAACTTATATAAAAGCAAGTGATATTACACAGGAACTGGAGTAAACATGAGTTAGCTAAGAATTATTCTGATACCGTCTCTACAGACTATTTCAAATAAGTAGATCCTTTCTTAAGAACCTAAGTTAAAGCCCAGATTTGCCCTTTAGTTATTTGATATTAGTATCCATGGTATTGCATAGGTAAAACTGAGACAATGTTATATTCAGTTCTTCATACTGCATTAACTTAGTTTTTAGTGTTTAATCACCTTCCTTGAAATAAAAAAAGAAAAAATGCGGTTATATTTATTTTGTACTGAAGGATTAAGGGAGCAGGACTGCTGTAGTAAAAGATCCAACTGGTCAATGATCTATGTTTTAGCTGCCCTTTAATGTACACAGCTAAATTAGTAAGGAAAATGATTATCTGAGTACACTGAACATGTCTTTAAATATTCATACCCTTATTTCAAGCCACATTTTTAAATCTTAGCAAACGGAGAATCTCTCACTGAAAGGAGAATACATGTTAAATCTTAGCTTTCAAAGTAAAAATCTATTGATTTTTCTGACAAATAAAATGTTTAAATGTTTTTTTCATATATGCATAATTTTAAAAGCTGGAGAGATGTTAATTAACTTTTTAAAATATATCATCCTTAAACTGAGACCAAATATGAAATATTTCATTACAAAAAAGCTGATAGTCATATATATCTAAGATTAAGAATCCCAAATGTAATGTCCATCTTACCATTAACTATACTATGGTCTGATAAGGAGGCGGCTGTGTTTCCTTGCCTCTATCTAGCTCATGAACCATAGGAGCTAACTGTGTTTTGACTTAAAAAATAAAATAAAATATGTACAGAAGTAGTGGTTTAAGACAACTGACTAAGGTAGGGTCTATCTTCATGGTACATTTGAACTGTGTATAAGGTAAAATGAAGCCTAAAAGGAAGACCAATTTCACTCGACTTGGTGTCATGTGCAAATTGACTACGTTTTCACTCAAAGCCATTCTCTGGATCATTAATGAAGATATTTAGCAAAGTGAGACCCAGGACACACCCCTCAAAAACCCGGGGGTTGATACCTCCTTCATTTGATATGTCCGCCCAACTAGACACTGAGCTCATTGAGCACAATCATCCAACCAATTGTGCATCGACCTTGCAATACTTTTGCCTAGTCTGCAATTACTTAGCTTACTAGTGAGAATATCATGGGAGACTATGACAAAAGCCTTGCTGAAGTCAAGATATATCACATTCACTTCTCTACATTCATGCACGCAATCCCTCATTTTGTCGTAAGAAGAAATCGCGTGGGTCAAGCATGACTTGCTCTTGATAAATCCATTCTGGCTGTTCATGATCAGTTTTTCTCCTTTAAGTGCTCAGAAACAGATTCCTGATGAAATGCTCTATTATCATGCCTGGTACTAAAATCAGACTAACTGGTCTGTAATTCCCAGGATCCTCCTTCCCTTTGTTAAAGATGGGCACTATGCTTGTCTTTTTTCCAGTCATCCGGGACCTCACCTGACCTCCACAAATTCTCAATGATGATAGCCAATGATTCAGAAATTACCATAGCCAATTCCTTCAGTATCCTATCATGCGTCCCATTTGGCCCAGCCAACTTGAAAACATCCAGCTTTTCTAAGTAGTTCCTAACCTGTCTTCACACTACTCTAGGGTGCTTATCTCCTCCCCTATCCCTATTCTGAAGTAACAAAATGGCCCTACATACAGGGATGACCCCTCCTCATTATCCCCTATGGATTAAAGGCTTGATTAAATCCCCAGTCGAATCAATGGGCCTTTCCTTTGTTTTCAGCGGAGCGTGGAAGAGGCCCTTCTCCCTTAGTAGCTCTAACAATGGTGTCACAAGTTTACTTTCAACATTTGCAAATCTTCGTAATGTAGTGTTAGGAGATTACCTTCACCTGAAAGGAACAACTTTGCAATACTAGGAGGACACTTAAACATGTGCTAAACTACTTGAACACATGCCTGCATACATTTTAATTGCACTTGGGATATGGTTACACATGACACTTAGTATGTTTTAACTCTGGTTACATTCCTGTCTAAACATTGAAGCAGGGAAGCAAGTACTAAGTGCCTTCATAGCATAGTAAAGGTAGGTCTTTTCTATGCTGAGTTGTTGTCAGACTGTTCTACAATCAAGGGTCTCTGGTGTGGTGGGGAAGAATGATAGCTCTCTCTCTCTCCCCTACTCTGCCACCTCCAGGCTCTCCCACAAACCCCAGAGTTTTGCTGATTCAAGGCTTCAGAGCAGTATAGGGTCTGAGACCAGCTCCTGTGCCATGCTGGTGTCACTCCCAGCCCCCACACCAAGCTGGAGCCTCAAACCAGCTCCTGTCAGGTGTGGGGACTAGGACTGGCTCTCATGCCATGCCCATGCACTACATTGGATCTTTAAACCAGCTCACTGTAATCCCTGAGCTGAGACCAAATATGAGCTGATTTTTGGTTTCAGCCCTGGGATCGCATTAGACTCTTAAAACAACTATAAAAATACTGAACTCCTATGTTTAAAAGCCTCTTACATGCTGTAGTAGTAACTATGTAAAATATCACAAATACTTCCTTGATTGGTTAAACTATCTTGGCTTCTATTTATCCAAAATTGATCTGTAACCTAGTTTCTACACTTCATGCCATGTTTATCTGCAATTTTACAGTTATTATTCTATAAAAAAAAAGACAGGACAGAAGGTCGGAAGAGTTTTGTCACTGCTGTCACCAGATTGGAAATGTTTCTGTCTAATAAGAGCCCTCATGCTGTCACTCAGTATTTTCTCTGAGACACATCATCAGGCTGCTGTGAGATTTTGTGACAGCATTCAAAAAATCACTTCAGATGTAGCTTGTGACAATTAAAAAGAAATCAGGTACTATACCAGGCACTATGAACTTACATTATTATATATCCTATTTATGATTTATGATACTTATAATATTAGGATGTTTAGGATATCCTATCCTATTAAGGCAGATGTCTATCTTGATAATATTTTCTTGCATTTTACACAGTGCTGTTTCAAGCAATCTGCTGACAATCGCAGTGTGGCATAACAGAGTACGTTTCACATGAATACATTGTCATGCTCATAATAATTATGGCTCTGAATTCCTATATACCTAAAAATATAAACCCAAATTATAGATGTCACAGCAAATGGGTACGTGATCAGAATAATTACTACTATAGAAAATAAAAGATTGCAAAGACGTTTGATAAATACCATTTGTCTGCTGTTATTATAAACATATACTTTTCATTAAAAAAACAGAACTGAGAAAAAGAACATTAAATGAATTAAAGAAGTACTCTACACTAAATTATTTTCCCTTCAGCAACTTAGGTGCCTCAAGTTTTGACAGCGCTGGCAGTTTTGTCTGTCTGAAAAACAAAGAACATAACTCCTATTTCTTTTTGTAAATGTATTATGTTTAATGGCATTAATGTCTTAAAAACTTTTTCTACAGCCAAGCTCATGAGTACATCTATAAAGTATCATTAAAAAATAACATACTGACAGCAGTTTGTAGCAAATAGAAAAAAATACTAAGCGTAGCTACTACCTCTTATTGTAAAATTAAGAAACTCAACAGCTCCATTCCTGATCCTCCAGGCAGGCTGGCAGATTTCATAGGCAAAACGTAGGGCGGTATAGGGGGGCACATGCCCCCCCACCCCCCCGACACCAAGAGCTCCAGCCGGTAGGGGGGCACAGAGAGTACTAGTGCAGCATCTCCTGGCTGCCATTCCTCTGCCCCTGAGAGCATGGTGCCAGCCCCCGGTGCCACCAGATTAGCCACAGAGCTGCGCAGGGTCAAGTGAGGTAGGGGGTCCCCCTCTGGCAGGGCTGGATTGGGGCAGGTGGCTGTGGGTCAGGAGTGAGGGGCACCACTTGTGATAGGGAGTTGTGGGTTGGGAGTGAGGGGCACCAGCATTGCCAGGGGCTGCAGGTCGGGAGTAAGGGGGCACTGGCAGGACTGAGAGGGCTGTGGCTTGGGAGTGAGGGGCAACAGCATGGGCAGGGATAGGGAATCAGCATATCAGGGCTGTTCAGCACCACAAAGAAGCAGGGAAGACAGCTGCAGGTGGACCTGTGTACTAGTGAGTGATGGGGGCAGGAGGAGCTCTGATTTTCCACTATAAGAAAAACAAAATCAAATGCCAAAATATATAAGTATTTAGCATTTATTTTATTAGAATGATTGAGGCACTGCTAGGCCTCCTAACTGCTTTAAAATGGTAAATATAAAACATGGTGTTCAACTGGTACCTATATATATAGTGTTTCATTTTAATTGCAGAAAAACACAGATTTGGGGGTTTTAATCAGTGAATTTGGGGGGCTTCATCAGAGAATTTTGAATTTTTAAACAGAGAAAACTAGAATCCCTACTGATAAGGGTCATCCCCATCAGAAATCATGTGGAGGTCTAGCTTTGACTGGGAAGGGAGAAGGGGAGGAGTCTCTTCATTGCTGTACCTAAGCCCTAAGGACAAGCACTCGCCATTCTGTGGTTTATGGTTATGGATTCTTATCCCATCAGGTGCATTAGCTTTTGTGACCCCTTTGTTCCTCTGGGTTCTTTGCTTGTTTGTCTCTTCCAGTGCTGCCGCCCTCCCCCGTGGCCCCTTTCTCTCCTTCCCTTCCTACCTTTTCTATTCAAATCACTCATTCCACTTTATACACTACTCTATGCTCGTTTTTTCACAGCATCTGATGAAGTAAGCTTAAGTTCACAAAACCTATGTTTTCTATACAGAAAAACCGGATTAGTTCAGTTCTGGATAGTTCAAAGCATTGGATACTTGGATGCTATTGTCTCTCCCCAGCTAAAAAGATAGGTTTTCATATGCCTTATGGTACAGATAATTCAAAATATTGCATCTTTGAAATCTGAAACT